CCCAAACCCAACCCCCACCCCAACCCCCAAACCCCAAACCCAAACCCAACCCCAAACCCTTTATAGACCATCCATATAAAAATATTAAAGCTACCTTAATGCTTGCCTAATGAGGAAGGAAGTAAATAAACTTTGGAAATAATTTGAATACAAAATAAAATACTGGAGTCTACATTGGAGTAGTTGTCATGGCACAGGTAAGAGCTGAAAAGAAGTAATGAACCTTTTACCAAAATGTAAACTATATTCGATTTTGAACATTCAGAATATGGCTTAAGAATAAAAAAGAAGTAAAATTAAAAGTGCTTTTAATAAAATGAAAAAGGAGAAAGATTTATTAGAAGCAACCTTAAAAATAAGTATATTTTAAATAGAGGATATTTGGAGAGATATAAATATGCATGGAGAAAATGTAAATGTGGAAAAAGATGGATTTTTAATCATTTAGAAGTGCACGCTCATTAATTTAGAAAGGGTTTTATGAATTTGAAGAAGAACTAAATAGTTACTTACTATCTGGTTCATAAACCAACTTAATGTAGCGCAATCCGGTTCAAATTAAACCTTTGATCTATTAGAAGAAGAGATACCTGAAGTGATAAATGCATATTATTCATATTATTCAAATTATTATATAATTATTATTATTATTATTTTTATTATTATTATTATCAAAATATTATGGTAGATATGGAGTGCAAAACCACAAGAGTTATGTAATCAACTTATTTTTTATTATGTAACACTATATTAAAAAATATTTAAGAAATTAATCAATAAAATGAATAAAAAGACAACTATAAAAGTTACAATGTTTATCCAAAACAAATTCTCAAATATACTTTATAGATATTTTGATAAAAAGAGATTAAAGTAAATGAGTCAAGCTTTTTGCATTTAATAACAATTAGAATGTTGAATGATTTTAGAGCTGTTATCCGAAAATAATTCTTAAATATAATACTTATAAAAATAATTATTAGATTTGGAGATAAAACATTCCCATTACGTTTAGAAAATTTATGGGTTTAATTAATGATTTAAGGAAATGAAAAAGAACGCTTTTGTCTAATGATTTAAATGAAGAAATATAACAAATTACAAATAATCACAATAATATTTTAATTACAAATTAAATTATTCAATCTCTTATGGTAAATGATAATAATTTAGTTATTCTTAAAACTTATTAAATAGTTTCTATAAATATTACATAATGTAGATCCTAAAATTAATTAATATTGCTACTTTCATTTTAGAAATAATATCTTATGTTGTCAATGAATGCATTTTCAATAATACTTCTAAATTACAATGACTTTCTGTATCAGGTAAAAGTTGCTAATTACATTTTGAATGAGAATCTCTAGCCTAAATAATAGCGCATTTATTGTTCCACCATTTAATAGTTTTCCAATCCTTTTCTTAATTTTCAGCAAATTCCTAAATTAAATTCTTTATACTTCATCAAATTCGGGATTCTCCTTTATTTTGGCAATTATCTATTAACCTGTATCACTATTGTTCCATCTGCTAGACTCAATGAAGAATCCTCTGACTGCTTCAGATAAATCTGTTAAAGCTAATTCCTCTGCTGCCTCATCCTTTTGTACTATGTTAGCTGCTTAACAATCTTCTTAAACAGGCATAAAATTTACTCCACTTCTATATAATTCATAAAATAATGCTCCAACTGATAATTTTTTATTTGCAAAATGAGAAAATTCCTGAATAATATATAAAAATTAATACAGGATCTTTTTTAAGTAATTAAATATAACCAGGTCCGATTTCAAATTTAAATAAATCTCTAAGTCCTTGAATATCTAATATTGCCTTTTCATTTCCTACACATCTTAGCTTAAAACTTTTATAGGGATAATCTAAGCATCTTTCTTATAATAATCCTATTGGTCCAAGTTTAGGAACACTAGCTACTATATTTACTCCTTTATCTAATTTAGCATCTTCAACTCCATCTGTTATCCATTATTCACTATTTCTATCAAAAAATGCAACTCTCCAAACTTTTTGATTTTCTTTGTTTGGAATCCAAATGTAAGAGGGTAGTTAATAAGAAACTTTAAAAGTGGCATTTAATTCAAAATTTAAACGCTTAACTTATTCTTTCAATTCATAATTTGATCTAAGTGTCCAATTATTGACTTTCTTTGGAGGGGGTAGCATTTACAAATATTCAATATCTAAAACACCTCCAACTATTCTATATTTACTATATGTATTCGGACTATAACTATCAAAAGAGATATATAGAATTTTCTGTATAAATATAGAAATTGATCTTGGTACATCAACAGCCAATTATAATTCAGGATAATCATTTGGTTTATGTCTATAACCAGATGGTTTATTAGAAGGATAAATGAATATACCATATTTGAAATCTTCAGTAGGTGAAAATGTTTTTATAACTTCTTATTTTGTTTTGTCATCAATTTTAAATGCTCCTTTAGCCCCTTCATTGGCTTTCTTAGTTAATTCTGCGAATTTTTCCTATGATCATATTTATGAGCATTTACTTCTATAAAATATTCCGCATACAATACCATTTAAGTATTAATTTCCTCTATTTTTTTATGTATAATTTCCCTAATTGAATTGATATATGATTAATTTCTAAAGACTATATCATTCTAATTTATTGGTTATTGTTGATGTGAATTATTTTGATTAAATTTTCTTTCAGCCTTTAATTATGTTAAAAATTTATATATATCTCGAACAATGTTTTCTGCTTATTATAATTTTTGTAATTCTTCTGGAATTTTAAGATCTTATAAGGATTTTGATTCTTTAAAGATTGTGATGAAAGTAGTTAGTTAAGCCTCTTAAGTAATGTCTGGATTCGTTGAACAATTCAAAAATTTATCCCAATCATCATTTGCTTTGGCAACCTATAGATTCTATTATCATTTACTTTTTTTGCATTTTCTAAATTTTCCTTAAATACACTCTTTTAAACTTCATTTTCTATCTCTTCTTCTTATAATCTTGCTTTTTCTTCTGCTGCCAATCTTTCTTCTTCTAATTTTCTTAATCTTTCTTACTCTTATCTTTATTTCTCTTCTTCTTCTTTTCTTATTCTTTCAAACTCTTCTCTTTCCCTTTTCTCTAATTCTGCCTTTTCTTTCAATTCTTTCTTCGTTAATTTTTTAGGTGGAGGCGCTTTCGGTGGCATTACCTTGATTTATTTTTATGTATGAATGAAAATATTTCATAAAATTATCATATATAATTTCTAAACAATTCTAGAATATTAAATTAAATAAATTAGAGCAAAAAATAACTATAATATAAATGAAAGAATATTTGAATATTAATTTAAACTTTCTACTTACTATTATAATATTTATTAAATCTTCATTAATGTCGAATCTATTTTTACTTTTTCATTTTAGAAAAATTTTAATAATTCATAATATAACAAAGAAAAATCTTCTCAATCTTAAGTATTAATACTTTGTTTATAAGCATCATTAAGTAATTGATTTTACATTAATTGATAAAATTTACACATTAAATATCTTAATTACGTCATTAGGGGATTATTCTATAAACATTTAACAATAATTCATTCTTAAGTATAAATCATAAAATATAAGCTATTGATATAATTAATAGGCATAAATTTATAAAACGGGTAATTTAAAAAAAATTCAGAATTAATATTTTTTAATTCATATTTTCTTAAATCCACTTTTATAACTTTCATAATGCAGATTAACAAAGAGTAATTGAATGACCAAAACCTTAAAAATTCAAAAAATTAAAATTCTCATACTCTAATATATGGTATTTGTAAAAAACTACACAATATTTGTACTCTAACTTACCAAATAAAATATCCAAATATATAAGTTAAAACAATTAAAAAGAATCGGTTAGATATAAAGGAAAAGAAAAACAAAAAGACAAAAACTTCAAAAACTGATTTTTATACAAATTAATGCTTTTGTCAGACCTGTTAAGATATCAAACTTTTAGAATATCTCTCATAGTTGAATGTTGTTGAAAATTTACAGCATCAGTTAGAAAAAGTTAAGGAGTTGATTTATCTTTTTGATTGAATTAACCTTGATATTTTATTTTCCTTTTTAAAACAAAATTTGATCATCAATAAATTTATTTGATTTATATGATAAATTCAATTATCGTAACTTTATAAGATAAATATTAAAGCAACATGGAATAAATTTTCTATCAATTTTATGTATAATCTTTTTTAAAATTGAATTTTTATAACACTAAACCTTTACTTCAAGTCACAACTTTTCTTTTATTATGAATAGATCTATTTAATTATAAAATTTAAATAATTACATAAGTCTTACTTAAACCTTATTTATTCCTATAAATTAACAATATTTTGATGTTCTAGTACTTTTAAAGGCACATAATTTTATTTTCGAATTCTCTAACATATAATTTCTAATGTTTATTTTAATATTCAGACACACATATAATCTGAGTGTTTTATACTTAAAAATCAGAACAATTTCTTATAGTTAAATAAATTTAATGATTTTGATGTAAATAGAACTAGAATTATAAGAAGATTTCTAAATTCACAATTATTATAATTTATTTTTTTGTATCAATTAACAATAAAATTAAATTTATCTATCTCATACTGATGGACCTTTGGCTGATACTTCATCAACCATTTTTTTTAATTATGGATTTCCTTTAAATTTTGTTATATATTATACTTAAATATCTGCCAATAATTGGTAATTTTGTTGCACTATCATATAGGAATGGTAGGAATGATTTAAACATCTAGAAAAGTCCATAAATTTATAATGGAAATCCAACAATAGATAATCTAAAAATTATGATGATAAAGAATCCCAAAAAAAAGAAAATGCTTCCCTTAATTTTGCCTAATTTGTAAATACACATTAAATACCTTTCTTTAGAAAGAATGAAAATGTACTTTTAATTCCTATCAATAAGCAAAGTCCAATCAGAAATGATAAATTTCCCATCACTAATAAAGCCCTGTCAAGGAAAAACATAACCCCTAAGATAAAAAGCAAAAGACTGACAGTGAGAAAACCCATTCCAATTCCTGTGTTCCTAATATCACAATTGATGATTTACTTTTAGAGTCATCTAGAAAATACATTTAAGAATAATTTATTATTTATATTAAAACACGTCAACCCTGTATTATTTATATAAGTTAATCTAACAAAACCTTTATACATAAGAACTTTGATCAAAACACATCAAATTTTCTTTAAATATTATGATTACCAGAAATATTATTAGTTTCCATAACTCAAAATGAATACAAAAATCTGTTTTTCACATTATTGATAGATACTTGATTTATGTATGATATTGGAACATAAAATTCAGCTACTGGAAAATAATTAAAATAAAATAATTTCTCTATATTGATTATTTGATAGCAATATAATTTATCATAATATCGAATCATTTTTAAATTAGGGACTTATCATATAAAGGATGATAAATTGAAGGATTAAAAAAATGATTGTTACTTGAATAATAATTATAATTATCATTTTTATTGCCCAAGATAAGTTCTATCAAAAAAATGAGGTGCTGAAGTCCACTTATTTCTGTAGTCATTCATTTACTAGGGATTCTTTTCAAAAACTCCTTTTTTAATAATAAATTTCTTAAGTTCAGAAGTTCGATATTAATCTTTTGGATTCTTGAATTCTTATCTAGTAAAAATATAACTGTTTTGATTACTAATTTGTTGTTTAGAAATGATTAGGCTAATTTTTTTGAAAGTTTAACCAATTTTAAGAACACTTCATAAATGATTCCTAAAATAAGGACAAAGAATACTTATGTAAGTTTGCTCACATTATATTAATTTTTCTCAAATTTTTATTCTTTATAAAATGTTGAGTATTTTGAGTTTGGTTCACATCTTTCTTCATTCCAATTACCAATCAATGTTTTAGAATTGTATTTCTTTTCAGGATGTGATGTTTATTGTAAAATGAATTCGTTCGGCATAGAAATTAAAATAATTAAAATTATTATTTATTTAATCAATCAGCTCTAATCATTGAAAAAATTATTTGAAAATAGTTGTAAATGAAAATAAACTTAGCAGATATCAAAATTGAATAAATATGGTTCTAATATATAAAAATTAATTATTCTTACATTTAAGAATGAAGTATTACAATATTTTTCACTAAGTAATAACATCTTTTCTAAGAGTTATTCACATAATGTATTGTTTCTGAATTACATTCAAGATCATATGATGAAATCCTCTTCTTAAAAGAAAATATATCATATTTTTAGTAAGATATGTATAGAAAATTTTTTAGTTCATTTAAAATAACTAATTTATTAACTTTAAAATTTAAATAACATCATATTCTAGTGAACAATAAATAAAAACAGTTATTACAACTGATGATATTAAAGAGATTTTTGGAATATTAATAAAAAATTAAGTGGGAATGTCAGTTTTTTTTTCTTTTGAAGAACAAAATTTGTTTTTTTCATCCAATATTTTTTAGATTTGAATTTTTGAAATTTTTATAAAATGTTATATTATTTAAATTCTTAATGTAAAATAGACAATTAAGAAACTATTATTTATAAAATTACCAAGTTTTTAGAATTCTCTATTACAAAAGATAATTTAATTAATAAATGGTTTTAAATTGTGTTACAAGAAGGTTATTTATCCAATTTTTTATTATCTATTGACATGATTAAAAGATTTAGAGAAAAGAGCTTATTTAACTAAATATTAAGTCCTTATATCTAAGATATTTACACTTGATGAATTTTTGATGGATGATGATATTTAGACATGTGTTGATGAAATTAAACAACTATAAGCCTAATTTTGGGTTCATCATTAATCACTTGAATAAGTATAATCTATGAATCAAAAAAAACTTAACTTATTTTGAAAAAGAAAAGTACAATTAATCAATAAAATAAGTTTTTATAAAAGTAAAGTGTTATTAGAAGTTACAAATTATAAGATAATTATTAGTGATTAATTTAAATTATTTTTATGTAAATTATATAAGAAATATTACATTAAAAAAGATAAACTTATTATGAATTTATGTTAAAATATTTTTAAAACATATTTGAATATCCTAAAAATACTTGTTAATTAGTTTATAAGAAAACTTATAATTTGATAAAGAATGTATATAATCAAGTATTTATTCATAATTTAAATTTGATAAAATATTATTCAAGCCTTATTCTTGAGATTTCTTTGGAGCATTTCTTGTTCCTTTAATTTGTTAATTTTTCTTCTTAATTCTTCTTACTTTTAATCTATAATCTTCTCTTTAAAAAGATCAGGATACACTAAAAATATATTATTTGGTCTAACATAATCTTGCAATAGATTTATCTTCAGATATGAAATCTTTAGCAGTTTTCAACTCTCCTGGAAATCTTCCTTTGGTATTGACTAATTAGGGTTTCTATTCAGGTAACTTTATTATTAATAAGTTGTAATTACTTTAAACATTTCTAATTATTATCTTTCTTCTTTCAAAACCTATTCAAAGTCTTTAATAGATCTACAATTTAAATTTTCCTTAGGAGGTATATTAAAACTTTTATAGTCATATGATTTTGATTCAAACAAATGACTCATTTCTTTAAAGTGATCTTAATCATTAAGATCATAATGCTAAATAGTTGAAATCGATCTTGCTTACTATGGATCAAGTAAACTTTAATATTAAGATGCAACTGTTGATTATGGAATATGTGGTAAAGTTTAATAGCTTGATGATTGCAATAAAGATTTCTAATCTTGTGATTGATGCATTTGTTTTTATTTTTTTTCAGTTTTAAAATGTTCTAAATTAGGTAATTTTGTAGGTCGAGGCAATTGAGAATACCAAACTAATTTATTTATTGATGGAGTATAGCTAGTAAAATGTTTTTATAGAGATTTAGCTTTTAAAGGCATATAACTTGGTTTTTTTGCTAGTTTAATTCTATCCTAATAACCAACAGATCCAGTCAAAGAAGCATCAAATTCTTTGATATAATCTGCAGTTTTATAGACTTTTTGTTTTTCTCCAGTTTCATTATTGATTAAGTAATAGTTATTGGTCTCTAAATCATTCCATAGAGATATCATGCTATTATTATATGTTGTATACTAATATAATTATTATAATAAAATTCATTTAATATTTGGAATAAGGTAATTAATTAATATTCAAATTGTATTGACATAATACAATCAGATTCTGTTTAATAAATGATTATTAAACTATAATTTCAGAATTAGGAACAGTTGCTAAATATGAATAATTGCTTTAAAAATTTTATAAGCATTTTTTATAAGAAAATATATTATATATTGATGTTTATATTATGTTATTCAATATCTTTTTACAGCTCTCTGCATAGATGAAGTAAAGGATATTTTTGACAAATTAGAACTAACTTTTGAAAGTGAAGCATTTTGTTAATCTGATAGATTAGATGATATCTTATCAATGTCAGAGGATTTCATTGATTCAAATCTAGAATAATTAGAATCCATTTATTTTTTTGTTGGTTTTGGAGCATTCAAAATTGATGTAACAGAAGAATGAATATCAGAAGGTATATTTTGATCTTCAATATTTGAATCCACATCATAATCTTATTATTTCTTTTCAAATTAAGAAATATCAGAACTTAACATATCTATTTCCTAATTATTATCATCTTATTTTATTAATTTAGATATATTTGAACTTACATCAGAAAGGTTATCTTATTTCTATTATAACACTCTTTATTATAAAACTTAAATAACTTGTTCATAATATTATTATTATTATTTTAGGGCTTACTTTAAAACTTTTGGATCATCAGAAATAGTTTATTACTTTAATTTATTTTAAATTTCCTTATTGATCTTTACATCATAAGATATATCATCAACCTACTTATATGCTCCTGCTCTCTATAATTTAGCTTGTAATTATTCTATATCTTATTCTAATTTTGCAATATTGGCTTTCATTTATCCTTAATCTAATAAAAGTTGTGAAATTTCCAATTCTTTTTAAGTTATCTATTATTTTAATTAACTAATTTAAGTTTAATAATCAGCTTCTTTTCTTGCAAATTCTTCTATTCTTTCACGTAATTCTTTTCTAATCATTAATTATATAATTACGATTTAGCATTCAATTCTTTTTCTTATTCCATTAATCTCTTCTCTAATTACTAATTCTTCTTAATTACTTTTCCTAATTCAGTAGATTTATTTTCTAAATCTCTTTATACTCCTTACTTTTCTAATTTTATGATATCAATTTCTGCTCTCAATTACTTTTCTACACTCTCTAATTTAGTCTCCTAAACTTTATTAAGCATTTTCTATTCTTCAATATCAACTTCTTTTGTGATATCATGAAATTCCTATTAATTTTCTCTTCTTTTGTAATCCTCCATCAATTTTTGAAGTTATTCATATTTCTTAGTTAGAATCACTAATTAACCTTTTTATTCATTTAAAACTGTAATCTATCTACTTTTTTCATCTAATGTTTCTTCCAATTTAAAATTCTTGTCTTATAAAGCAGCAATTTCAGCCTTAAAATTAGAGTTATCTTCAGTTAATTATGCTATTTTTTTAGTGTGTATATCAAATTAAGCATCCAAAGAGAATGTACTAGCATTTTCACTTTGATCTGATTGCATTAATTCTTATTATTTCTTTGTCATTTATTCTTTAAGAGATCTCAATTAATTTTCTAACTTCTTGTTTTCAATTTTCAATTCTTCTCTTGTTAATGCCTTTATTTTTGGAGGACCTTTGTTCAAAGCCTCAATAATTTAATTATCACATCTTTAATCATTATTGACTATGGAACGCAATGTTTAAATAACTAGATCTTAATCTGCAATTTCTTAATTCAGTTACTCAATTAATTGTGATCGTTTGTGTTCTTTATTCATATTTTTTAATTATGCATTCTCCTTTTTTAAGAGTGTGATTGAATTCATTAGATTACGAACTTTATCTTGATGTATTTAATTTAAAGCATTGATCTTCTCTAATTATATATATTATTTAATTACTTTCAGCAGCCCCATTCTATTCTTCATATTGAAATATCAATTCTTTTTAATCCTTATTTAATTTTCTTAGTTCTTCTAGTTAATTTGTAAGTAGGATAATCTTCTATTAATCTTACATAATAATAAAATTGCAAAATTAGTATAATTTATTTAAATGGGAATGAGACTTAAAAAACTTACACAAACACTCGAAAGCAAACATTCATAATAATATAATTTCCCTAGAGGAGCTGATCAATTCGAATATTCGCCAGATAGATCATATAGTTCCTTATAAGGAGATATATACGATCTCAACAGTCAAATAAGACGCATTCATCGTAGAGTTTTATCTTAAGTTGTATTTCAAAAAGGAAAATCAAAAGAGAATAAATTAAGCACTCTATCTCCTCTGAAAGTTGATTAGTTGGCAGTCACAAAAGCGAAACTTAATTCATAAAGATTCTTTTTAATGAATTAAGTACGTAATATTAGACCAAAATAAAATAAAATATAGTCTTCGTAACTGGTCATTTAGAAGTCTTCATAAAAGAAAGGTTAGCGAATGCATACAGATACTATTGAAAGTATAACCAAATATCGATTAGGATGACTTAAATTATTATTTTAATATAAATGTCTATAAGACAATTTGTAGGGATTCAAGAAATAGCCAAAAAGGCTTTTAATTCTTTAATTGTGATACGCAAAGAGATTGAGACTAAAAATCAAGAGGTTTTAGCGCATGGAATATCAGTTTATAATTAAGTTGTACCTGTTGATGCAAGCAAAAGCAAGTTTGGATTTTTCAGATGTAATTAAATATTATATTAATTTTAGCATCTCGTCTTGACAATAGATCAGATCATAGATATTATGATATGAATCCATTACCTGCTCCAGAGTCTAAAATTGCTCGTGTTTACATTATGGATGATAATCGTATGCATTAAAGTAATTAGTGTTATGAATACACATAGATCCAACTATGAAATAAGGATATCATTGGAATGTCTAAATAGAGAGAGGACCAATCCATAGAATGCCTTGGAGTGGTTGGACATTTTCAAAAGATTAGAAGAGTAGAGAAGTTTATAAGTTTGTCAGTTTGGAAGCTGCATTAGAATTTTGTCAATAAGATGGATATGGATATATTGTTCAATATCCACATTTTCGTTACACTTCTAAGAGAAAGTATGCTGACAATTTTAAATGGAAAGGATTTCCAAAGGATGAATAAGACTCTTGAAAAGATATTATAAATAATAAAAAGGAATATCAATAATTGGCATTCTAAGACTTTCTTAATCTTCTCAATACTCTATTATTAATATTTTCTTTAGAATTATTGTATATAATGTATTTTATTTATTTATGTATTAATTTCATTCTGAGATTTTGGTTAAAAGTTTATAAAAACAATTTATTAATGATTAATTAATTATGATTGAATTGTAAGAGACTAATACAAAAGAGGAAATGGATTTTGGGTAAAATATAGATTCTTATTTATTAGATAATCAACCTTGGAATATTAAGGTGAATATGATGATTAATATAAATTAACAGCAATCTATTATAGGATTAATAAATGCAAATAGATCATATATTATGTTTTATTAATTCTAACTCTTGGATTATTGTACTTATTTCAAAGATGGTTTATAAATCTGAGATTGTTTCTATTGTAAGCTTAAATCATGTAAAAAGATTTGAAAAATGTGAATTTGGTACAATGACACATGTTTTAGTGATCAAGACCAAAAACATTATTCCAATTGCAGATGATCAATTATGTGAAGTTACCATTGTTTAGGATCATGTTTTCTCTAAAAATGCTAGAGTCTTTAATTATGAACTTAGTGATTATTACATTGATACATATACAAAAGCATTAGTTTAGATGAGAAATTCATTTTCTTAGTACACATAAGAGAGAATTCGTAATATGAAAGGCCTTATAGAGTTGACAACTATATATGGAGAAAATATTATGGAAATACCAATAAAACCAATTCCACTGCTTTTACTTGATGAAATATTAACACCTTTTAATATATTTTAATTTAGTGCTTTGGCATTATGGGCTTATGATGATTATTTAAATTATTCTCTTTTTATTTTAGCTATTACAATTATTTAAATTAGTATTGAATTGAGAGATGTAAGATAAAATTTATAAAAAATATAAAGAATGATTAGATTTAATGTAGATGTAAAAGTAATTAGAAATAATAATTAAATTACAATATAATCAAAAGAATTGATTCCAGGAGATCTATTAATAATTGAAGGATATACAAAAATTAGTTGTGATTGTATTTTGATTGATGGAAATTGTGTAATGAATGAAGCTGTACTAACAGGTGAAAGTGTACCAATTAATAAATCTAGTTTAGAAAATAATGAATAATTATTCTAATAAAAAGGAAATGAAAATAAAATGTTATTTAGTGGTACTACATGTTTAAGAAGTTATTCATAAAATGGAGAATATGCTAAAGCTATTGTATATTAAACTGGATTTTAAACATTAAAAGGCAGTCTTGCTAGGTCAATAATGTTTAATAGAACTTAAACATTTAGTTTTTATAGAGATTCATTAAGATATCTATTTGTATTAGCTATATTAGGTTTAATATAAGCAAATATTACAATTTTAATAAGTGGTGCTTAAGGTGTTGCTCTTGGAGAGAGCATAATAAATGCTTTGGAAATAGTAACTATAATAGTTCCTGCTACATTACCAACTGCTTTAGGAGCAGGTATTAGTCTTGCTTTGAAGCGTTTAGAAGATAAATCTATTTAATGTGTAAAACCTGATAAGATAAATGTGGCAAGTAAGGTGAATTTAGTTGCTTTTGATAAAACAGGAACATTGACTGAATTAGGACTTGATGTTTTAGGATGTAGAGAAATAAAGGATTAAGGATTTAATAAATTATAAATGATTAAAGATGTTTCAGAATAGTTTAATGAATGTATGGGTATTTGTCATTCATTATCAATTATTAATAATGAAATTATGGGAGATCCTATTGATTTATGTATGTTTTAATAGACTGGATGGGAATTAGTAGAAGAAAGTAAAGCAAGAAAAGAAATGAAAGAAGTATTAATATTAAAGAGATTTGATTTCTAAGCAGAATTGTAGAGAATGTCAGTAATAACAAATTAAAATATATTATATTGTAAAGGATCACCTGAATAAATAAAGAACATATGTATTAATATACCTATTAATTATAACAATATGTTATAAAAATATAGTAGTTAAGGATTTAGAATAATTGCTTGTTGTTATAGAGATGTTGCATTTATGAATATGCAATAGTTACATAAAAGAGATATTTATGAATCAAATATGATATTTTTGGGATTTCTCATTTTTGAAAACAAATTAAAAGCAGAAACTTAATCTACAATAATAAATTTAAAATAGAGTAATATCAAATCTATTATGGTGACAGGTGATAATCCATATACTGCAATTAATATTGGATTGTAATGTAATATATTGGATCAAAATAGTAGAATATTTTTGGGATTTCTAAATGATGGAATATTGTAATGGAATGAGATAATGTAATTGAAAATGAATAAAGCTGATGAGAATAGAAGTTCTTATAGTTTAGATTCAAATTAAGTTTATAATTTAGAAACTAATTAAATTATGAAATTAAGTTGTCACTTTTAATTAGCAATTACTGGATAGGTTTTTGAACATTTATAATATTAATATGCTGCATTTTTGGATAATTAATAATTGATTTTGAATCTATTATAAAGAACATACATTTATTCAAGAATGAAACCTAATAATAAAGGAGATCTTATGCTTCTTTTGAGATAAGACAAGTTTAATTTTATTGCTTTTTGTGGAGATGGTACTAATGATACCTGTGCTTTGAGATAGGCAGATGTTGGTTTAGCATTATCTTTAGAGGATGCATCTTTGGCATCTCCATTTACAAGTACAATATTCAATATATCTAACATTATTAATTTAATTAAAGAAGGTAGAGCTTGTTTAGTAACTTGTGTGGAATGTTTCAAATTTATGACTTTGTATTCATGCATTCAATCTGTTGCTGTATTATAATGCTATTTTTATGATACAGACTTTACTTAAGCTCAATATCTTTATTAAGATTTATGGTTGATAATCCCATTGGCATTTACTATGGATTTAACAAAATCATATAATAAATTAGCTAATTATAGACCAATAAGCAATTTAATATCATTACCAGTTTTATCATCTGTTTGTGTGATTATTCTTATTTCCTTTCTTGCTTAAATGATTATGCATTAAATATTGAAACATTAAGATTTCTATTAATAGATAGTAATTGAATTGGTTAATGATGATTATTATATGCAACCTAATTATACAAATTCTATTCTACTTATAATATCCAGCACTGAAATTTTGTCTGTAGCTATAGCTTATACTTAAGGACCTCCTTTTAGAGAAGTCATTTATCAAAATTTCTATTATATGTTAGTAATATGTTTTGGGATAGCTGGTTAAATTATATTAATATTCTTCCCCAATTTAATTGGATTTTTAAATTTGGAAGTGGAGTTTCCAACAGATTTTAAAATTTAAATTCTAATTGTCAATATAATAGTAGGAATTACAATAATATTTTATGAGAAATTGATAACTGGAAAATTGAATTAGAAATATGCAGAAGTAGAAATTAATCTAGGAAATCAAAATTGATAAGATATAAATATATATTCACTGTGTATTTTCATTATCTTGCTGTATCTAATTTATATTCTGAACTTTGCACTAATTAATTAATTACTGATGTATCTAATATCTAAATATCTTGATTCAATTATAGTTTCATTAAATCTATAATAGGTTCATCCATACTATTTATCAATTTTTAATTTATTGGATCCTAATAATTTGTTATAATCTCTTTAAATGCCTATTAAGCTTCTAAAGCCTTTTAATATGGAGTCTTTGCAGGTTTCAAAAGTGAACAGAAATTATCTTCAGAAATATCTTAAGGATCTGCTCCTATAAAGGGTTTAGGTAAATAATCAAACATTTTGATTTAGGCTTTATTAAGAAGTATGAATTTCAATTTGTCAATTTCATGTAATTTATTGATAATATAC